TTTTTTTTTTGGCTTGTTTGTTTTTTGTATTTTTAGGGAAGGGTCTGCAGACCTTTTCAGGATTTCACTACTAGATCAAACTTGCAGTGATCCCCTGTTTTCAGCCTCCCAAGAACTAGGCTTACAGGTGTGCCACTACACCCACTCTCAATTGTCCTCTTAGCACACCCTGGGGGCGGGGCCGGCAGGGCAGGCCAGGGGATCCAATCCCTGGCCCCTGCGCCTGCTTGCAGGCACTTTAATCCACTGAGCTATTTGGCCGGCCAAACTTTGGGGTTTTAAACAAGGGGTTGGGCTCAAAACTTACGTGATGAGTTGTTTCCTCACTTGCAAAAAAGCAAATAATAACACCTTATGAAATCATGAAGTTAAATGAAATCAACATGAAGAATACTTGGCTCAATGCCAAGAACGTAAGTAGGAACTCAATAAATGTAATCTCCCTGGTTCTTATGAAATAGACTACTGAACGGTTGAGAAGATTAGGAATGTTTTCATGGAAAATACAATGTTTCAACGTGTTCTTTAATATAAAGCATGAGTAAAATGGGCTAATAGATGCAGGAAACATGTTTAAGCAGTGTTTGAGCGCTGAATGCAGTAGATCAGTCTTCTTGAAAGGGCTGGAGCAGGCGTGTCCAGCCACCAGGTGCCTCCTAGTTCTTTAATGTTATAACAACAAATACTAAAGGTGAAGGATGTTTTGTTACATATATACATTAACTATATTATATATTTAATGTTCCCTGGATAGTGCCCCTTCACTCTGTGCCCCAGGCAAGCCAAAAGGTTAGATGTGCCTGGACTGGAGACTGAAGCAGAGAGAACTATTCAGTGCTTCTTGCTGAAGTCTAGATAAAATACAGGGGAGAAAAAAATTTTGGAAATATCAAAGACAAACCAAAGCAGAGTCATGGACCCATGATAGACCAGATTCAAGGGTGGCTGATTTGATGCTTTCCCAAGGCCCCTAAGCTTGGTGGGAAGATGGGAAGTGAGTGTAAGCATACCAGGCATGGCACCTCGTGCCTGTAATCCTAACACTGCAGGGGACGGTGGCTGGGCAAGAAGATAGCAAGTTCAGGACCAGCCTGGAAAACCTAGTGACTTAGTGAGACCCTGTCTCAATATAAAAAATAAAAAGGACTAGGTATAGAGACTAGTGCAGAGGCCCAAGGTTCAATCCCTAATACTGCCCTACCCCCCAAAAAGGAGGAACAAACACCAGGAGGAAGAACTTGGCATCATGAGGAAAGGTTCACTAGTTATAGCTATGCTGCCAGTTATCCTATGGAAAGGGAAGGTTAGAGATCAAATACCACACTTGACAGAAATACTCAGTGAAGGAGGGATAAGAAGAGACTGAATCAGACCTCAGAACTATGTCTTGTAAGGGAGAGTAAGATCCACAGCAAATAGTACCAGGCTCCACAGGCCAAGAAAGATAACAGCTGGCACAGATGTGGAAGAGTGGACTAATGTCATCTGTGACAGAGATCAAAACCAAGAGCAAAAGAAGGGTGACAAGCATTGAGTGTCGCTGCCGCCGAAAGGTCTTTCTTTTCTGTGTTCCTTCATCTCTAATGTCTTTCCCTGTTTCCTGTCATTAAATGTTGAAGGCAGAACCAGGGCATCAAAGGCCACCCCTGCACCTTCTCCTACATAGCCTCCTGTGGGTTGACAAAAAGCCTTGAACACGGAGACTTCAGATAGACTCTCTTAACCTCTCTGTTTTTCAGTCTCCTTACTCTAGGTTGGAGTCAGACCAACATTTACCCTGCTTTTGGAAAGATATTTGGCAGAGATACAGTCTAAGAATAATTTCATTGAAAACCTATGCAAGTGAGAAAGTACCTACCAAGTAGCCAGTAACTACCAAGTATAAAGGCTGGGTAGATGAGTGGTTGCTCAAAGATGGTCTTTAAATCACTGATTGTTTTATCATTTGTGAATTTTTCAAAACATTTTATAAGCTTAGCAATCTGTGTTAATATTGTTATAAATTCTTAGCATCTCTACAAGGAGATTGAAGGTGCTTTCTGGATATAATGGTCATTTGAACCTTAAATTAGTTTCACTTCCATGACTACTTAGTAATGATTTGGCTACATGATTGCTTACACAATGAAAATGGGGAAAGTAACCAGAGGAGAAAGGTGGCTGTGACCATTAGTTTCTACAGACAAATATGTTTCAACTGATTTCAAGGCATAAGAGATAAGTATACAATATTCATAATGATTTAAAATGTTCTATAGATACTTATATTTCTAAGACTTAAGCCCCAGTTCTCAAAATCAATCATAAGAAAAGTGTACAGGAACAAATGTGAAATTTTTTAAAGTTATTTTGTAGCCAGTTAGAATTCTGTAATTCAACATGTGTAAATGAGGAAACTCGAGTCTCCTATACATGAAGTAAGTTATGCATAGCTCCTAAAAGTTTGAAATTTTTGTCTAGGTGCCATACCCCTGCAATTTTGGAAGACAAAACTAGGTAACAGTGCTTTTCCTCCCAAGTCCCAGGAGAGAGGTCCCGGGTTTGGTGCTCATGCTTAGAGTGTGCATTGCTTCACTTCGTGTAGCAGTGCGCTGAACGTTAATGTTCGCGTGTTTTCCATCTCCTCCTACTTCCGAGGCACATTAAGGCACCCGAGTGCCCTTCTCAGAGTCACCCTCATAAAATTAATGATTAACTCCTAATTCATTATTCTGTCTTCTCAGTGGCCCATTTCTTACACATGTTCATACACATAGCTTCTTATGCTGCATAGTTATTATCACTGAGTTAGAAATTGTGTAAAGGGCTATATCTATAAATAATAAAAGCCTTTAGCTTTTTTAAAAAAACTTTCTATCATTGCATTAAATCATATAAGTGCACATCTCCACCCTTCCATGATCACATTTGACAGCTAAGTAGCACTGTCTATAGAACCAAAGCAAACAGAAAAATACAAGCAGCTCTTCTACCATTTCAAAACCAAAAAAGGTGTGAGGGTCATAAAAGGTTAATAATTCTTCAGCCTTGTATTTGGTTTTGCATTTGGATTATAGAAGCAGTGATATTAGAAGAAAGTGGTGTTTTGTAAAGTTCATATTCCCTGCTTTTGTTCCCAGATTATCAGGTAAGTGCCTATTCTTCAAAGCCTAAACATCAGACTAACCCGAAGATTCAAAGAGGAAGTTTGACTGTCTTTTTTTGAGGTTAATGTTTTTAGAATCCCTGTTGCCTGCCCCTTTAGTAAAGAACATTTCATACTTTAAAGTTTGCAGATGTTTGAAAAGTGTGTGTGTTCTTTGTATTTAGACATTACTAAGAGTTCCTTTTCTTTTTCTTTTGCTTCTTTAGATATGGGAAAATAGTCTCCACAAAGGCAATTTTGGATAAGACAACAAACAAATGCAAAGGTATGTTTTTATGGTAGATTATTTGTTAAATCACAGCTTTAGACAAATGCAAATGGTTGAAATTTTATACCTGATCTTAGGTTTCAAAATTCCTCCCATTTTATTAAAAACCAAATCTTACATGTCGCCAAGTGTCTGTCTTGCACAATACCAGCATCTTGCTTACGTCTGATTTTGTCCCTCATTGAAACCTGGCTAGAATCTTGACAGCTACGAGCTGTTTGCCAGAATTCCAAGTTTGGCACCAGTAGAGTTAACATGCAAAATACTAGTTGGCATTTAGCCCCTGCTTTTAAGGGAGGAGTCAAGTTAGAAAATAGCTTTTCTTTTCTGAGCCTGAGGAGATTAGAGCTGCTTACTGAAGACCATTGGACTGTACTAAAGAACTGAAATGATTACATATTGTGCAAATTGGCTCTATTAATTAGAATAGAGTAGTTTTAAGCAGTACTTAATTACATGTTTCAATACTCACGATTGTTCTCTGCTGAATGCCTGTTGACAATATTGGCAGCAGGGAGGAGAGAACCATTTTCACTGACCAAATTTGTAATAGGGAGGGGGAGGTCATGCGCCCCTTTGGAATATGCTGCTGCATTAATTTGATGCACTGACCTTCAGTTTTCCATGTAATTAGGATGAGCTCATCCAGCCCCATGAGCTGGAAGAGGAGATGTCTACAGTAAGCAGCACCGACGCACTACAGTTCTGAGTTTAATGGTCTAGCATCTTAACAATAGGCATGTGATTTCTAGGAAAAGGGAAGAATGGAGGCAGCTGACTTCGAATCTAACTACTGACCCTGTGAATTGAAGTAGGGTTGACAGGAAGAGGCAGAGAGAGAAGGCAAATCTCCTCATTAATTAGACCCTGGCTTTTCAAGTAGTGGTGAGGGGTAGTGGCTTAGCACAGTCTGTAAAAGGCAACAAACATAAATGAACCCTATGGTAGGGCCTCTCCTTGTGAGCCAGCCATTTCCTTTAATCTAGACTTGAAGTGGTTCATTGTATTCCTGTCTGTTCATCAAAGTGCCCAGATTTAAAGGCACTATTGTGGCAAATATCTAAGCCCATGTTTAATCAACATGGCACATTAAGGCAGTTTCGCCTTGGGACAGTGAATAGCATGTGCTTTATGGAGAGTGGTATTCAATAAATATTTAAAATGAATTAAACTAGAGAGAGTCAAAAATCGTGGACTGAAATGCATACACTTAGTTGCCAAGATTTGTCTTATTTAACATTTATAAATGATTTGGAAGCAGAGACACAGAAAAAAAGTCTTTGAGTTTTATAAAGAAAAATAGACTCTTGCAGGCATAAAACAGAAAGCTGATCTCAAGCATTAGTTTCAAACCAAGAGAGACATCACAGTGGGTAAGTGCTTTTAGCCTTAGTCTTACCCTACTTCCTCTTCTTTTTGTCTTCCACCCCAGAGAAATTCTGCAAGGCAGCTCAGCTGCTGAAAAGTGGAGCTATCTGGGTTAAGTGAAGAACAGGTCTGAGGTCTAGAGGTCCCCTGGTTGTATTCTCTTCCACTCTGCTCAATGAAAAACACATATACAATCCTTCTCCAGTGTAACATATTATCCAACTTTTATCATCCTAGTAGCCAAAACCAAAATAGAAAACATAACTATTCCTGTGATTCAGTGATTTTGCTGTGGGGGCAAGATAAATGTAATTATTTCTGGTCCTGGGATCTGACAAAAATTCTGGGACTCTTAGGGAGGATGCTGTCCTGCTTAGAGAACCCCACCTTCAAAGATACTTTGGTACATACTTGTAAATTAAATGCATAGACCCTACATAATTCATGTTTCATGGTCTTACATTTATTTTCACATTACATAGACGATAAGAAAGAGCTCAAGGTTCTATGCTTGCCTGTTATGTTTGTCTTCAGCAAATAATTAAGAAATGTTTTTGTACAGTGGCTTTCAGCAATGGCCAGAAAAGGATTTAAACAGTTAATTGTGGCTGGGGAGATAGCTCAGTAGAATAAGCTCCTGCCTGGCAAACACAGGGTCCTGAGTTCAGTCCCCAGTACCTCAAAATAAAAAACAAAAACAAAAAACCTGAAATACAACAATCATGTATTTCTCTTAATAAAAAAGTAATAGATTAAAGAATACTCAGATTCCAAGAGTAGATCACAACATCAAGTACAATAACCTAATTGAGATCTCCTTACTGTAATTTATTAGCAGTAGCAAAAGTTGTGAGAAAATTTTAAACATCCATCAGTAGAGCTATGTCATTTCATTTTTTCTTCCTTTCTTTCTATTCATTTATTTAATTTATTGGATACAAGCTCTCACTGTGCAGTTCTGACTCATAGTGATCCTCCCATCTCAGCCTTCCCAGGACTGGAATTACAGGCGAGTGCCACCATGCTACAGTTTCAGGGTTGGCACAGCATGCCTGAGATTCCTGGGGCCAACATGGCATGTAAACCTGGAGATCAAACTCTGGTCTTTGCGCTTGTCAGGCAGGTGCTTAGACCACCGAGCTATCTCCCCAGCCCGAGCTACATCATTTCAGTGTTAGCCAGCTATTCATGTGTGCACTGTAAGAGTAGGATGGAATATCTGTGCCTGTGTATCCGTAAAGTATATTACTTATTAGCCTCAACAGCAGCTTCCTAAATAGCCCCCAAACATGTTTAACCTGATCTCTAACCTTACAGCTGAGTAGCTTTCTCTGCTTTGGTGTGCATCATCCCCTCCTTCTAGTCCCCAGCCTGGCTGTTTCACTCCTATGGCAAGTTAAATCTTATTTCAGTCCAATTCCAAGACACGTAAGGAAGCTGCTGCTGTTTCTGCTTTAACATTCATCTCTCCTAAAACATCTATTTCTGTAATTGATAAACTACTCTATTTATTACAGCTTATCTGTTACCAGGCAGTATTTTTAGTATTAATGCTGCAGAACTGACCAGACTGTTTCAGACACCTTAGGTTTGATTTTTCTGCTATATATTTGTATATTTTGACCATACTGCCCTGTTACCTGAATTATATTTCTTCATGCTATCTGAAAATCAGTGATAGGACAGGCTCCTCTTCTGTACAGCCTCCAGATACTGCTTTTCTTCTCCAAAATGTGCTTACTTACTAAATTAATTTTGTAATGATTGATTTCAGTTCAAAGAAAAAACTTTGATAATTTGCCTGAGATCCTGTTCCTTTAAAGTATATTATAAACAGCACCCATTTCTCATAAGTTAAGAGTTATCATAATGAAAAATCTGTGGTTGTCAGTTTTACTCAGTGATGCCTACAGGCTCTGTGGAGAGACCGTTCGCACGTGTGCTCTGCAGGTTCTGTTCCTTGTGCAGTGTTTCTCTTTTATGACTTGTTGCTCATTTTCACTGCTAGATTTCATCCACGTGCTTACTTTGTAGCCCTGTCGCACCCCAGACACCTTTGTCCTAATTTTCTGTTTTGATTTGTTGTGAGCTAAGAAAACAGATAATCGGCTCATTAAAAAATGCTTGGGAAATTGTAGATAAATAAACTCGACACCACAACCTCTCTTAGGTGGTTGTTTATTTTGTTATACTGTGTTTTGTTTTCAGGCTTTAAAGCATGAATTTCCCAAACAACTATTTTGGGTATCTGGAGGCATTCTCTTTCTTGTCTTCCTTATTTTGAAGGAATGTGAGGAGCTGTATTTTAAGTAAATGAGTGCATTTGAACAGATAACTGAAATTAGGTTATATTTTAGATATCTAATGGTTATATTGTTTGAATTTTGAAAAGCACGCTTTAGTTTACCACTAAATGTAGTTTTTGTGCCTGTCACTTGTCAGCTCAGTGGGATGGCTTCGTCGTTGTTACCATATCATCAGAAACACTGTTCTCCGCAGTTGTCTCCTGTCCACACCACCACATTAGTTTAACCCTTGGTTGGCAGCTTAGATATTATTTTTTTCCAGTAACTGCAGGACACCCAAGAAGATCTCGAATAGGAAAAAGCTAGTCTCTCCCACCGGCCACTTTGAAGGGAGGCTTGTCCAGTGAGGGGCAGATGGCGAGGAAGAAGACCCAAGAAAGCCACGGGGTGGCAGCTCCAAACACCTGAGCTCTTGGGGGACGTTTTCTTTTTTGTTGCCTGCATGAGAGACCAAGTGAATTCATCCTTTTGCCCTTTATGTCATCATAAAAAAAAAAAAAATAGTATAAAACAAAATGTACTTTGCTTTTCAGGTTATGGTTTTGTCGACTTTGACAGTCCTGCAGCAGCTCAGAAAGCTGTGTCAGCCCTGAAGGCGAGTGGGGTTCAAGCCCAGATGGCAAAGGTGAGGGGGAGCTTTGCTTCTGGCACCTGATGCAACTGCTATCCCCAACCCTGTCTGCATTTGCTGTTCACCACCACCAACCACAGTTCCTTTTGATCATCAGTCCAGTGCTTCTGAAAACTCAGCAGTACTGACTGTGACAGACACTTATGTATTCCTTTTAATGTGTGAAGAATTTTTTAATGTATATAATTTAAGTAGTACATTATGTAACCATGTAAGCAAATGGAAAAATAGTGTGAAATTTTTCTCAGATAATCAGGTATGCAGAAGTCTTTAAGATGTTTTCTAAAACAATTTTAAAAGTTGAGCATTCAAGCGATGAAGTAGGCAAAGTGTAAAAGGTAAGCGTTTACAGCACGTGTCTTTTCTATAGTAGGGATTTAATCCAAGGTCTCACACATGCTAGTCAAGTGCTCTACCATGAGCTACATCCTCAGTGCTGCTGCCCTCCTTTTTTTAATTTTTGAGACTAGGTCTTACTCAGTTGTCCAGGATGACCTCAAAATCACAATCCTACTGACTCAGCCTTCCAAGTAGCTGGGGTTACTAGCATGAACCACAGTGCCTGGCTAGAAGGGCATGTTTGGAAGGAATATGTGACTGTCACTTACATGGCTTTATACATGCACAAATGCATATTTTATAGATACTATGTTTTTCTACATAATGGACATTTTTGCACATTATAGGATATAAATCCGCTTTTTAGCAGTTATACAAGGACTTTATCTTAGATTTATTTCTGATGAACTTTTGGCATTCTAGATGAGGAATAGTTCTGAAAAATTCTCTAGGTAAGGAACATGCCTGACGGTTCAAATCTTATAAAGAGCACATCAAACACATCTAGTAATATGTCAGCTCAACTGCTACTTATGTTCCATGTTCATTGCCCAAGTATAAGTTTGGATTATGTCCTAATTTCTAGTACCTGTAGCACTAGAAGGTATTTATGTGCAGATACTTAATAACATTGGGGCTGTTTTCCCCATCTTTGGTTCTTCGGTTGCTTTGGAAAATATTTTTCAAGTCTAAAACTTGGCAGCTATTTTGAGTATTGTTATCAAAAGAGCAATAATTTAATATTACTTGGCTTCATCAAGTACAGGAGAAAGTAATATTATACTGTCCTCTGCTACTTGTGAATGACACTACATGATCATTTCCTACTGAGCATTCACATGTTCATAAGGTTTATGACAGGTAAAAAAGAACTCTGCTCAGAAGATAAATTATCTACTATGACCTAAACCATATCATCTCAGGGTTACTGAAGAATGTGTATGAAGATACCAGGATGGAGATTTGCTTCAAATAAAAGAATCAGCATAAAGATTTCAGGAATTAATAAATGAGCTCACTTTTCTAAAGTAATTCATGTTTGAAACCACATTGAATTGGACTTCGTGAAATTGTAAATGGTAAACATATTTTCAGATTACTTGCCCTTCATAGAGAGAAATTTCCTGTGGTAGTGTTGAGAGACAGTGAGACATAAGTATATTGTTAGTGTGTTCTGCATAGCAGCTGGAAGATCGTTTAACCTATAGTTCTGCAAACATGGGTGACCAGCATTCTAGCAGGAAGGACTCTTGGTGCTCACTCAGAAAACCAGTCTTTCGTCCACTCTGTCCTACTCGGTGTGCCAGCTCCTGCTCTCTCTTTGGATAAAATCTAGGGCAGGTGCCATGACTGCTTTGGCCACTCTGATTATTTCAAAAAGTCCCTTGCTTCTTTCATGTCACATTTTGGTCAGTTTGGAGGATTTTTGGTTTGGTTTGGTTTACATCTTCATGTAATGTGAATATCTTTCAATACATTTTCAGCCATCTCAGTCAGTATTTACACTGTTCAACCTCAATATACTTTAAGCAAGATGTTGTCAGGAAAAAGTTTAAAGCTACAAGTACATTTCAATACATAGAAATGTATATAGAATGTTGCAATCTTGGGCTAAGGTTCTGAAACTGCTGAGAGTCCACAGAAAGGATATGTGCCTTGGCCATTATTCGTGCATACCACAGCAATTATTTTCTGATGACTGCATTGAGTATTTGATGAACAGGACAGGAAGCAATGTTTTTTAAGTTTCCCAACATGATTTATTATATGTATACATCCACACAGAGATATGTTATGAATATATTTAGTTACATCTTAGAAATTTGTAGGAAAATAAATTTAGTTACAGTTCGGAAGATTGGGGTTGTGATAAGCGGGTAATACATTATTTTTTCTCATTTAAAATAATGTGAAATATTTTAACATTTTGAGGCTAATTACCTGTTTTTCAAAAATATTGATAGTATAATATGCTTGTAATTTCAATGTCTAATCCTGTTTAGTTGACAAAAATTGTATTTACATAATAATAAAGCTTATCCCTTCTTTTAGGTTAGGTCAGCAAGCTTATAGTGGAATGGGCATATAGTTTGTTTCTTTTCTATTTCCAAGTCATGTATTCCATCAGCTCCCTGGCTGTGGTTTTTAACCTCTCCATGATTGAAGAAGGATAAGAAAGTTTGTTGACCTGAGAATGATGTAATATCATGTTGATTTATCTGGCCAGGCAGCAAGGAGATATGCTTCAAGCATTTTGCTGAGCTTTCTCTTCAGTCTCCCTCAGTCTTGAAGCTAGAGAATACTTGTCTCTGGGCTCACACCCTCAGTTCCTGATAATGGAATGGCCTATCTTGAGCCCATTCTACTGGAATCTCCCTGCCTCTCCCAGATAATCTTGCTCTAAGGCCATTTCTCCCTGTGTGGCCTTCTTCAGATCTACCTTGGCCAGCCACCCCTAGGACAGCAATTAATTCCCTACCGTACTAGTACACCCCTTCAACTAGCCTTTCTCCTTTGAGACCTCTCAGAAGCCGAGATACCCAGTGCACCCCATGGGACATGGATCAAGCTTCCTGACTGATCTGTTGAATCCACTGTTGCTGGTCTAGTGATGACAAAGCATCAGCCAGCATGCTGAGACTCGGAATGTGCTCATTTCTCTCCACACAGATGCCTGTTTTCAGCCTCTCCTCTTAACAAAGGAGACAGGTTATCAGCTAACCATCTCAAACCAGTTCTCAGCCAGATCCTGGTAGGCTCTCTTAGATGGTCTGCTTTCCCAGTTGGAAATGTAGGAGCTTCTGGCCCCCTCCTTTTTGTTGCCTTTGCTGAAATAAGAGTTAGAAAGAGAGCTTTTTCAGAGTGGTGCCCTGCACACTTACCTAGGCTTTATTTCCAGTACTTCTCATATTGAGCAGCATACTACAGTAAGTATAGACATTACAATGCATCTAGTTAAAGTGAGACTGGGCATGGACTGGCGCTGTATGACATGTCGTGGGTGCTCTTTGAATGCCAGCTTCCCATGAGTTGATAATGAGCACTCTTCAGAGCCCTCCTTAGTAGGCTTTGTGCTGTAAATTGGCTAGGAGAAATGAGCCTTTCTTCTGTCATCTGTGGGGAAGAGCAGTGTGCAGGTTCAGAGATGCTGGCAATGAGCCAGTGTTCTGCAAGTGCGGGTCTCTTCAGGCCCCTGTAGAGTGACTTGATTCTTGGATCTGATTTCTTTTTTATGCGATCTTAAAGTTACAAAATACATTTTAAATGCTAGTGGATCTCTTGTTCTCTGCCACAAAAATCATATATTTAAGTGTCTGGGCTTGTTTAACCTTCATATGCTGTCTGGTTTTTTTGTTGTTCTTTTGCGTTTTTTTTTTTTTTTTTTTTCAGAACCAGGGGTTGAACTCAGGCGCTTACCCTTGCCAGGCAAGCACTTATTTTACTGAGCTATCTCCCCGGCCCCTTCGTATGCTGTCTGGATGAAGGAGAACCTACTACATGTGCTTTGAAGAGATTATTTTTAAAGGAAATTTAAGCAGAGCTCCTGTGTTGGGTAGTAAAGGACCTACCACTCATCTGCTTTCCATTACTGAATTAATCTTATCATGTGCTGAAAATTTCACATACTGAAGTCTTGTTTTCTTAAATAATTAGAAAAAAAAATAAGGAACATTTAGTTGAGGAGAGGTAGAAGGGTGGTGGTGTTTGATACATTGGTTAGCTGGGTTGAGAAATGTCCACACAGATACTCAAAGATTAATTTTAAAACTGCTAGTGAAAAACGTTAGAGACCAGTAATTTTTCCTTGTTCATCTTTTAGTTTTTAGTGCTGTGTTTGTACCCACCATAAGATAGGTAATATATTTGTTTTGTTGATAATCAGATCAGTTAGGGGAGAGGAAGACTTTCAGACAAATATTAAAAATTTTAAGAGACATTTTAAAATTCTGTCGATAGAGTATCCCAACAAAACTCATCAAATAAAAATGGTCTTGGGCCTTTTTGAAAAGCCTATTTATGTAAATTTGGCAGATGTTTCAAATGTGTATATTTTCACGTATAACACTCAGATTCTATAAAAAGAAAAGAAATGAAACTCGGGTAACAAGGTAAAAAAATACAAAATGTGAATCCACATTGATAGTCCCTGTTAACAGAGAAGCTTCTCTAGGCCTTTGGTACCTAAAACTTGCAGGGGGTCAGGAGACCATTGGATGTATTTGGTCGGTGGTCACCTCACTCGTTTTTCCCACAAATAGGCAGTCAAGCAAGCAGGATTTTAGTCTCCCTGCATTCCCAGGTCCACCGCGCTCCAAGCAGTTTGTGGTCACGTGCCCATGAGAGGCTATCTGCTGGTTGGTGAACCTATTCCACACAAGAGAAAACAGATGTCTGCTTTCCTGCCAAGCCCCTTGCTTGCATTTTAGGAACCATTCCACACGCACAGGGAGGTTTCTGTTAATTTCTTTCAGATGATGTCTTGAGTGTTTTGCACCATGTGGGACCTCTGAGCTGTGCTTCTCTATTCAAGTGAATATTAGTAGCCGTTTAGCCCTCTCATGGCCTATGTGGGTTCTAGTTTTCCACTTGTTAGGGAAGCCCTTGAGCCTTCTGTGCTGAGGGACCCATTGAGGCCTTCTGGTCCTGCTTTTGTCTGGGCCACCCGTAATTGACAGAGTAACTTTTTTCCAGACATAGCAACTTATTATCCAGACATAATAAAGCAGAATTACCGTCATCACTGGTTCTAAAGAAACTAAATTATTCTTATTGAAAAACACTACCAATGACTTCAAGGATTATGTCCCATTTGCTACAAATGTATAATAATGAGAATGCATCCATCCTTTGAGGCTTAGGTATTTTTGTGACTAGTGCTGCCATCTCAGCATTCCTTCCCATTTCTTTGTGTTTTGTTTTTAATATTAAAGTTGTAGAAGCTCCACTGACACAGTCAGTTAGCATGCAGTACTTATATAACATTAAAGTTGTAGGAGCAGCCAGATAGCTCAGCAGACTAAAGTGCCTGCTTAGGCATGGCATAGTGGCCGGGTTCCATCTCTGGTGTGCAGTGCCAGCCCCACCCCCGCGGAGCTCTGAGAAGGCGATGGGGGCTGGGCGTGGTGGCAAGTCCCTATCATCCCAGGGCTTGGGAGGCTGGAAACGGGGAAGGATCTCTGAGTCCGATCTGTATAGTGAGGCCCTGGAGACCCTGTACTAAATACATAAAAATAAATAAAATAAAGTTGTTACAACACTGTGAACATTGCTTGCAGTGTAGATTGAGCAGTTGGAAAGAAAAGTAATAGCAAATGAGTGTTTTAATATCCTTTAAGGAGTTCCCAGGTTTATTCTGAATCTGACTAAGCATGATTTAAAAATCTTTCTAAGATAAGTTGATTGTGTTGCTCACTTCGCTGCTGCAGTGCCTCCAAAGCCTTCCCAGCTTTCAAGGTGTGGCTTTTAGACTGCTGCTCCACATTCCCTCCTACTCCTCACTGTCTCTCAGAAGATGTAGAACCCTAAGACAGATGTGACTGCTGCCTGCTGGTGTTTGGGCGGAAATACTATTTCTCTTCTAGAAACAAACTCCAGTTGTCAGAGAGTGGATTGCAGAGTTTATACCATCTTCCACCCTTTTTATTCCCTTTCTTCTGGGTTTTTGTTGTTGTTTTGTGCTTGTATTTATGTTTTTTAACAGAAGTCTTCCAGAAAACTTTGCAGTTGAGGCAAGGCTATTTTGCCATTTGCCTGCAGACTCTGCTGGCCACATTCATTATCCATGCTGTTAGCACTTGACCAGTGAAAAATAAGCATCAATGCCTGAAAAAACTCAACCCCTCCCGCAGCCTTTCACAGTCTGCTTCAGCCTGTGGACCTCTGCTTGTGTCCTGGTCCCATGACATCTGAACACAGTGTTCCCTCACCTCCCTACAAGAATCACCCTCTCTCGGTCCTCCCATTGTGATTTTCAGGACCCAGCCTTTGCTACATGTGTTTCTGTCTCTGCTGTTTACTGTAAGTGGCCAGAAGCAAGGACTCAGGTCAGAGTTGTTTCACAGAAGCAGACTGAGATGTACAAGATGCACTGGAAATGTCCTAAAATGAAGCCCAATGTCCCCTCAGGGCCAGCTTTAGGGAGGAAGGACTCTGTTTATATTGACTGATACAGAACCAGATTTGTGTTGTAAAGGAAAGCTTTGGAGACTTGAAAGTTAGGGTGAATGGGACGGCAAACCGTGGAGCCAGGTAGTCAGCAAGGTGAAGTTGGTAGAAGCCAAGCAAAGTGGAAATAAGAAGCTGAAAGACTCCCTCTTATAACCCACCTCAGAAGTAAAAATTTTCAAACCTAAAAGGATTATTGCTTTTCCCTTTGAACACTGTTATTATTCTGTATCTATTAAATCATTTGTTCAATTTAGACATATTTTACATAATTGACAATGAAAGGTTTTGTTAAGCATAAGGTAATCAGTGGTACCACACAGAACTTACCCAATTTCAACTGAAAACAAAAATAGTTGATATTTTGATTTAACATATGAATGGTTAGAGTTTTTAGCTTATTATTGAGCATTAGAAAAATTGATATTTTTCTTGGACCTGCTGGTGTCACCCTGAGGGGTGAGGCCTAGAGCAGCCAGTGCCCTGTGTCCTTATCACAGGTCTGGCTGCACAGATCTGCTTCCTCTGTCCAATCCAGGAAGTTGTGGGGACAGTACTTGTTGCTCATAGCTCTCTCTTTGATAACTTTCGTTCTTGGAAATAGAAGGCATTTGCCATTCCCTATGTCAGATTCTTGTTCATTTATTTATGTACTTATCATGGCACTGGAAATCAAACCAGGCTTCAGACATGCTAGGCAAAAGATCAAAAACTGAGCTACCCTCCCCCAGCCATCCACAGATTATTGTTTAAATCAGTCTTACCAGCTAAGCGTGGCACAAAAGGTCAGTGTTCTCTTTTATTTGCAGATTATTTAAATGAAAATTCTCATTTCAGGTTAATGCTGGATACACTGGAAAGACTATATACAAATTCAGACATTTTTAAAGCTCCATATATTTCAGAAATCTGAAGGTTATAATGAGTATGCTATTCTGTTCGTGAAGGCTAGATGATCAATTAATGGCTGCGAATAGTGCTCATTGAAAAAAAATAATATGCTTCTGTACGTAAAGATACAGTTTGTTTATAAGACCAAAGGAAAGGCTGATTTTGAATTAAGTCTGTTAATTTCACAATTGCAGGTGTGAATTTAGACTTGGTCAGATTATTTTTAGTAGTCAGGAAAGGCTTTTCCTCAACATTTCCATACCATACTTTTCATAAATGTATGTAGCAGTTACTTGTTCTTTAAAAATTGGTTCTGGCTGACTCTATCCTGGCAGAGGAAGGTTGGATGGAATTGATCTAAGGATTGTTTCTCTGATTTTTATATCCTTGAGTCACCTGGACATCTTATTAAATGTAATTTCTATATGCAATATAACAACCACTTTTGAATACCTATCATCTTGGGTTTTCTTAATTATCATGTCTTATCTATTATTTTTCTATTCTCTTTAAAATAAATTTTGAAAAATAAATGAATATCTAATTCTGTAAGTCTGAGGTAAGGTCTGACATGCTGCATTTATAATAATATCCCAGATAATTCCAGTACTACTGGCCCATGGATCACCCTTAGTGTGGCAAGGTTTTTGCAAATCTTCCAATCTCTCAAATTCAGCTTTTCCAGTACTCTAAAATTTGCTCTGCCCAGAGCTCATCGTTTTGTATGCTTTGAGTTTCTTGTTTGGGTTATTAGCAGTGCCCCTTTTTCTTTGATTATCAATATTCAGAAATTATGTGGACTCTGCTGTAGGGCAGAGCAGGACAATTTGCGCAAAACAGTATTGGGCTTCGCATGACTTGATCCCGAATCCTTCATGTATCTCTACTGAATTAGTAGCAGTAACAGCCTCCTGGGCAGTGGTGTGCCTGAAATGGGCTCCTAAAAATAGCAGTGGAAGAGAGGTTGGTTATTTTTGGAAACACTACAAACTACTGAAGGCTGTGCTTTCATGAGGGCATGCTCTCCAACTCAGTGGTTCCTGCCAGCAGCTTCCCTTCCTCATTTGCTGGGAGGGGCTCTGGAGGATCATGTTTGCTTGTCCAGCATGACCTGGGTATTCTATAGACCCTGCAGTTTCACTGCTATAAAAAGACAGCAAGAGAAGTATTTGTGTAGAAGTAGGTGTGTTGATATCAAAATCATCACTTCTGTTGGAAATTGATAAGATAATTTTCTGTTCTGCTTTAGCAACAGGAACAAGATCCTACCAACCTATATATCTCTAATTTGCCACTGTCCATGGATGAGCAGGAACTTGAAAACATGCTCAAACCCTATGGACAGGTTATTTCTACAAGAATATTACGTGATTCCAGTGGTACAAGTCGTGGGGTTGGCTTTGCCAGGTAAGCACTCTGCCCTCTCTTTATATCAATGACAGTAATTTTGCTGAGTTATCTTAGAAAATAAAAGTTGACCAATAAGAGAAAATTTAGCTAGGGTTATGGGATCCAGTCACAACACGAACTTAAATTATGTGTAAGTTTACATGTAAAATTTTCCAAGTCTTTCGTGTATTCACTAGGGCTCCTGCCCTAAGTACATGTAATTTTGGTTTGCTCCTGCCCTGAACCTATCACATGAGAAATAGCTCTGAAAGTATTATCCTTATATTTTAGTAGGGATCTTTCTAACTTTTTAAAAATAATTATAGGTCTCCTAAATTTCACAGGTAAATTAGTATGTTTTTTCCCTTGGGATAGAAATTTGAGTTATCAATAAGGTAAGTTAGGTTTTTAAGTTAAATAATTTAAATATTTTAAAAAGTAAGACAAAAATTTCCCACCTAATCACAACATAAATTTAGCAACTATTAACATTTTACAATTCTTGCTTGTTTTTTTTAAATAAATGTTCCAATTATTTTTTAGTGCCTTCCTTCCTAGAAAAGATATTTGAGCTTTTTTTAATTTTAATTTTTATTTTGTGGTACTGGGGATAGCACTCAGGATCTTGTGCTTGCCAGGCAGGTACATATGCTGCTGAGCTATCTCCCCAGCCCTAGAAAAGACACTTGAGTGTATCAGCTATTTGGTTTCTAGAGAAAAAATGTTAAATAAAATAGTTTTGATGGGGCACAGTTTAAGCCTAAAGTCCATCCACAAAAGGTGATTTTACACGATACATTTTTTAGTTTATTGATACTATATAGTAATAGATAGTGTCTGAGTGTTTCAAATTATTAAGTTTGTATTTGGAGGAAAACATGGTGACATTTTGCTTTCATATATACGTGATGATCACATCTTACACAGACCTGTGATGTCAACAAAGCGTTATTAGTACATATTAATATCATACTTGAGGTACAAAAGTTTCTTTCCCCTTGTCACCTAGCTGCCGAGTCATAGTATGGCTCCTGCTCGGTTCTTCTGGCTCTTAGTCTACTGCTCTGACAGGCTAGATGAGTTTATAATAAAACTAAAACAACCTGTCAATGAAAGTGAGCAAGGCTGGTGTATCCACTGTGCACTTTGTTGGTTGAAAGAATCCAGGAGACACTGAATGACTGACGTCTCCTGGCTTCTGTGAGTGCCCTTCTGGAAGCAGATCAAGCATGTGGCTTCTGTAGCTAATCACAGAACCCAATTAAGTTCTGCTGTTTATAAAACTATCACTATGTGTTAAAATTGAGGTGTGACTATGATCGTCCTGCAGTGTAGTACATTTTCAGTAATTACTCCCAGGGCTTTTTTTTTTTTTAGTAGCAAGTAAAACTAAATCCAAGTAATTTAAATCCCCAGAGATATTTCTCAAATAGATTGGACCACTTAGAAATATAAAATAAATTGTAAAGTTAAGTTCCAGTCTTTAATTTTACCTTCAAATTCAAGATGCAAGAAAAGGTATGAAATGGACTTTACAAATTTAATTTTAAACCTGACATGAATGCAAAAATCATGTCAGGCACATCTTGTGATTGACACTAGCTTTTGCTATAATTCTTTAGTCTGTCATTTTGTAAATTTATAAAAGGAAAGACCATCTGTAAAGTGACCAATATTCTAGCAAGTAGGAAATGCACTCGTATGTTAAACTGCTGCTTTTCATGTAGTGTCGGAACTGTCAAGCAGTTAGGTATTGATTTCAGTTTTCCAATGATTAGACTAAAGTTATACATTTAGTATGCTTAGTATTAAACACTCTGGGCATAATTTGTTCCTTTCATGACTGAGCATGCGCCCTAGGATTATTTTGTTATAAGAAGTACAAATAACAGTTAAATAAAAGGATAAGCTCTCATATTCACATTATTGCTAAGTCCCTTTGCTATCCAGAGTATCTGAAAAGAGTATTTGTACATGCACAGAACAGTATTAAAAGTAAGAAACTCTAAATATATACATTTTTTTCTCACAAATAGGATGGAATCAACAGAAAAATGCGAAGCTGTAATTGGTCATTTTAATGGGAAATTCATTAAGACACCACCAGGAGTTTCTGGTATGTTGTTTGTCAAAAGTTTTATCAGCAGTGTTTATGTTTGCTTAACTTTAGCACATGGTGGCTCTTATGTTAAGAACAGAACTCTCATTTTCCTCTTTAAAATATATTTCTTCTTATCAACAAATATGATTTAAAATTTTACCCCTTTCCGGACACTGGATTTGAGCGTGTCACCTGCAGTAGGCGCAGTGCCAGAGCCCTGCCACACCTGCTCCCCTTGGCTTGTCAGCCCGCGTGCACCTACCCCAGCACTGCCTGCAGGAAGCTTCCTCTCGGGCACATACTTGGAGCAGAACGGTGTCAGGCGTACCGCACCTCAGCAGCTTTCCAGGCCAGGGCTACTTTCACTCTCAGGAAAGCTGTTCTGAAATAGAGATCCTCTGTTGTTACTATTTATTAGCCCTTCTTTGTTTACTATCTCTATAAAACCCAGTCCCCATTTTTAAGTAATGAAGCCATTTCTTCAGGGCCAGCCTCACTTTTCTTATGTACCAACATTTGGTGACTCCTGCCTGGATTGGGCATGCAGCAGTCCACTTCCACAGGACCTGTGACACCTGATAGCTGAAGGTTGTCACCATGGCAGATTCTGAGTCTGTTACTTGCCAGGCCTCAGCACCACAGGGACTTACTCTGACCTTCCCATGTCCTTCCCTCTCCCTCCTCGCTTCAGTTCTCATCACCAGCCTGTGTGGGCCCTTGCCCAGCTCTGAGCTGGTAATGTCACTTCCCATGTGGTGAAGAGAGTTGAGATTAGCAGGTAGCAATGCCGTCACTGTGCATCCCCTTGACACGGACCCCACACCTGCACCCAGCATTCCTCCTCTCCTTTCTTGAAGCCTCAAGGACAAAGGTTCAAAGCCATCTCTGAGGTTGCATCTCCAGGGACTTTTTCTGCCTGCTAATGCCTCCCTCCTGTATAACTTCAGTCTCTTTCTTTTGCTTGCATTCATTTTTTCCCCACAGCAAAATCAAACACTTCTTTTCAATGAATAAAACAGCAAATCTCTGGTAAGAGTAAATGTTGAGGAAGTAAGAGAAAATATATAAAGAATACTAGGAACAAAAGAATGTGACCATAGCTACAATAGACATTTTGAAACCACAGAATTCAGGAAATGTATGCCTGGATTTTTTAGAAAAAGATCCTCATTAGTGTTTCAGATCATTCAAGTCTTTATGATTGAAATTAAAACTAAGCACCATTCCTTTCTTATGCTCCTTCTCATGTAAACATTTTCAAATTCTAGTCTTCCCTTGTTTCCTACTCACACCTCAGCACTCTCCAATATGATACGTTCCCTAAGCCACGCAGTTGACATTTACTAAACTTACTGTATTTGTTTGCTAGAGGAATAAATGTAGTAACAAAATAGCACAAACTTACACAACAGAACTGTAGCAGCTCAGTTTCTGGAGGCCACAAGTTCAACATTAGGGTGTGGTGAAGTTTATTCCCTCTGAGGGCTGTGAGGGACTGGCATGTTCCAGGCCTCTGCGTGGCTTGGCAGTGGCGTCCTTGCCTGTGTCCCTTCTCATCAGCTTCTGTGTGTGTGTATGTGTGTGGGTGCACAGGTGCCTTTGGTCCAGCTTTCCTCTTCTGAGGACACCAGACTTGATGGATGAAGACCCACCTAATGGCCTCATTTAACTTCGAAGTCCCTGTTTCTAAACAAAGTCACATTCCAAGTTATGAGAGGGTTAAAGGTCTAAAGTATCTTTCACTTCTGGAGGTATAAAGGGAACCACACAATTCAACCTGTAACACTACCTCCTGATTGATTATTGAGCCCAGAGCCTTTGCTTTTTTCTGTGTTGTCTGTCTTATTTAGAACTGCTTGTCTTTCACTCATCTTTGAACTGTGTCTTCTTATTACTACCATTTGTTTTCTTTAATCCTTTCTTTTTTGTGGACTAGTTTCTTTGACTTACTCTTAATTTTGTGGTATTTTCCTGAATTCCATTTTGGCTCACAATTCTGGTGGATTTCATGTATTCTCAAGGCTTCCATTCCCATTTCAGATGACTTTGAGGTACTCACCTCTCACTCAAGCTTTTCCCCTGTGGATTGCCTTCTTCTGGCCTTAGACAACTTGTATTCATCCTCTCCAAAACTACTTTAGTCCCCGCTCCCATCTAATCCTGTTCTTTTCATCTTGTTATTAGAACCAGTATCCACCCAGCTACCCACACGAGAGAGCTGGGACTGGACTCCCCTACTCACCTCTGTCTTTCCTCTCTCACATGCAAATAACAGGTCAAGTCTTTACACTTGTCCTCCTGATCACTTCTAGACTCTCCACTCTGCCTCCATTCTCCCAGACACATCCCACTTTCCTCGTATTTCTCACCTAGGCCATGATAGCAGCCCCTTCATTTCCTACTCTGGTGAGGCTTAGGTCCTTCAGGTAGCTCCTAATTGTAGCAAAAAATATTTATATCCAGTGCACACTTCTGTATCACTTTTGTTCTAACAATCACTTCTTCACTTCTGGAAGAAAAGATCTAGGATTCGTAGCATGACACTGAAAGCCAAAAGTAACTGGAGTGAGTCTTGCTTCCTTCATTTCTGTCTCTCTCCATTGTCTGCCTTTTTTTTTGCTTTCCAAATACTGAACAATGAGTGGTACTGATGATGTCCCACACTGCATTATTTCTCCTTGCTTTCGCTCTGTGACCTCGAACGGCTTGAATCCACTTGGTTTCCTTTATCCTGGCTGTCTCTGCCTCCCTACACCAGACTCTATTCATGGCATGCATATCTCTCTCTTCCTGGCAGGGACCTCCTCTGACCCAGTGTAGTTGTGCTGTGTGTGCAGAGCACCCTGCCTGAGGTGCCTACCTGGTTATCAGATAGTATTTACCATGTTTACATGCCTCAGTCCCTCTAACCTGGAGGCTCCCAGAAGTCAGAAACTGGCTTCTTGTCTTATACATGCATGTCCAACACAGCACAAGCGCTGTAGTAACTGTAGTTACTGTAGTAACCAACAACTGATGTTTGTTGGTTTAAATAAATTTTACTACATTATAGTAGCAAGACAGGACTATCTTCTAACAAGCTCACATGTAGGAGGAAAAATTGAAATGCTTTGTGATTTGTAGCCAGCTCCTAGCTGTGTCCCACCGGCAGGAAAAGTCTAAAAATTTAGAAACCACCTAACCTTTCTTTAAAAAAGATATTGATACTGTTAAATGGGAAAAAAGACAAAAAGCCACACCCACTCCTTTATATCTTCTTCTCCCCATACTTTAGTCTTATGTAGCCTGACATAGAACATCTCAGTTATGCTTCCTAGTCTGTGTCTCAGATAGGGAGCATTTGCCACTCATTAAGTGTTTAATGGCTCCATTTTTCTACCAATGCCTGTGCACACCCTAAAGTTAAAGCTGGGGTCTCAAAGACCTGGACAGAGGTCTGGAGAGGGGGTCTTTCATTGTGCGACCATAGCCATCTATACATGGAGTATTTTAGTACATCAGCCATGTCAACAGGATTTACCCCAAATATTTGTGTGGTACAGCAGGTAGGCATTTGTACTTACCGCTAAAGTGGGCAACCACAAGGGAACCCAGGACATAAAAGGTCTGTCCATCAAAAAAAAATAGAGCCCGTATCACCTGGCAGTGTGTTCAGCTATTTCCTCAATTTTTATTATTATTATTTTTTAATTTAATTTTATTTATTTATTTATTTTCCATAATTTTATTA